ACAAGCAATTAAATGATGCTGGGCCATCAATTTACTCGCCTCGGATGCTGAGATAATTGAAAAAGCGGTCCTATAATGTTAATCAAACAAAACAGGCGACAACGTTTCAATGAGATCCAAGAATCTGAGTTTTCTTTGTTCAACGAGGATTTTAGGAGAATATTCAATTAGAAACAGCTGTTATGTCACCTCTGTTATATTGCAAAAAATTGTGTGCGTAAAACCACACGTCAGAAGTGATAACTTCTATGACCGGTCAGTATTTCCTTTATCTTTTGGACAATACGGGGTGAATATGATTGAAGATATATGAATTTTATGTAATATTTTTACGTTTTTACGAAAAGGATGAACTAGAACTAGAATAACAATTAATAAAAGACTATACATTTCTAGTCAAAAGTCCCCTCCCCCCTCGTATCTTTTGAACGGGTATACTTATAATAATGAAATTTGGAAAGTGGAAATAAACGGATGTAGGCTTCTCAACTGGTCATAACAGGTGACGCAATAGTCATAAATGACGTCACAAGGCCATTATTATAAGTATACCCGTTCAAAAGATACGAGGGGGGGAGGGGACTTTTGACTAGCACTGTATACCGACCGCAGTAGACAACATGACGGTAACTATAGTCTGTAGCCAACATCCAGAATGAAAATTCAAAACTACTGTGAATTGTTGAAGATTCAATAATCTGATACTCGCTACAACCGCCCATGTGAATATTTGTTATTTTTCAGATTTTGATCTTGGTTTAACGTAAAAACAGTAGTTTTCATGCCTAAAACAGGAAAACGGTAAAACGAAACAGAAGATCTACTGTTGCAGTAGGTCTGGCAACGCTGCGGAAGGCACATATACAGGTATTCACTATCTTCCCGGATTGTGCCTAACAAGACTATAGAAGTTATCACTACATATGGGGATGGCTGAAACTGAAACACACGAGGGAAATACACCTACTCACTTTTACCCACAAAATGTTGACATCTGGTTCACCGCCATATTTACGTAATAAACTTCCTAAACTATCACTTGAAAAGTCTTCGCGCAACAAGCATTTGCTACTTATTCCTAGACATACCAAGTCAATTTTCACCCGAAGCTTTTCCTATAATGCTGCTAAGCTCTACAATACCATCCCTGTTGAATTCAAGGAAATCACTTTGAATAATTTTAAGAAACGGCTGAAATTGTTTTTCTCTGAGCGGCAGTAGTTTTTATTTTTTTATGACGGCGTGATTTTTGATCTGGCTGTAACTATCTTATTTAGTGCATTAATCTGTACTGTCCACTTATACATTTATACTAATTTTCTGGTAATTATTCCGATAACCTATGTACAATTCTCAATCATAAAGTCATTTTGAAAATTCTGTAATTTAGTTTCTTATTAATTATATTTATATCATTCTACGGGTTGGGTTTAAAAGCAGCTCCTTAGCTTAACCCCGCCCTTTCATCTATTTGTTTCTTTCTCTACCAGTTGTGAAATGATGATGATGATTAAAGACATATTATTATTATTATTATCATTATTCAGCTTTTCATCGAATCTGTGAATATCATCATCCCACTTTTCTTTATTATGCAGGTGAGAATTTCCGTCTACATCAAGAACTTCTATACAGAGAGACATCCCAGTTACATCTAGCATTGTGCAATGTACAACAGCACAATGTAATGGCATGCTGGAATTAATGCATAGCCGAAAAACACGATTCGTATGCCAAAATGATTAAAAAAATCCTTTGTAGACAAATGAGGAAAGTGAGGTTGTGTTTCATTGTTTCACCTCCAGGGTCGGTCATCTGACAGATCTTACACGAAACCCATAGGATAATCTCAACCTCATCTCATGTGTCGAATAATGAGACATGGTTTCGACCGATGACAGATTGCGAGGATCTTGATACTCTCTGAGCTGGAGAACGCGCAACGAAAAACCTCAGACAGAACCCGATGACGTGACGTTAACGTGATACGTAGCATGTAGTCAACATCTGAAGTGAAAATTCAAAACTGCTGTGAATTGTTATTGATGGTTCATTAATTTGATCTTTGCTACATACTTTCTACAACCGCCTATATATGTGGAATTTTGTAATGTTTTCAATTTCGCTTTTGGTTTGACAAAAAAAACCGTAGTCTTCATGCCTTAAACAGAAGAACAGTAAAACGAAATAGTAGATCTACTGTTAAACCAGTAGGTCTGGCAATAGGCATACATAGTTACTCGCGTGACGCGAGTTTGGCCGTTTACTGCCATCCCAGCCAATGCTTAACAAGCCTATAGAAATTATCACTTCATCGAATCTGTAAATATCATCATTCCGCTTCTCTTTATTATTCAATTCAGCAGGTATACGAGTTTTCGTCTACATCAAGGATTTTTTTATCGTGAGACATCTCAGTTACATCCAGCTTTTCATTACGAGCGCCCGGAGGAACGACAATAAGTTTTTTATACGTCTCAACAAAGGAGGAGTATCAGCAGCTATTAGGAGAGTTGCTTGGAAAGAACACTAAATCTTGAGGTACAAAAGAAAAAGCTGGAAGTTATTATCGGCATGGGGCTTGCGACGAAGGAAGGAAAATTATTACGAGGAGATGAGATATGAGTGGAAAGTTGGTGATTCATTTCGAAAAGCTGAATATAAACTATTTTAAACCCAACACTAATTACAGGGTGACATTTTCTTATCACTCTCAATATCTTCCTTCCAGTGAATAATATGAGAATTCAGAAGACAGATCGACTTAATTTTTTAAGGCGAGCACTTAAAATTATTCTTGTTGCCCTCTTGATTCAACCCCCTAGGAGGGACAGATGGGATAGATGTTACCCTTACAATCTCGAATGGGATCAATTCTCTGTCCAACGGTACCCAGTCTATCATTTCCTGTGGAGCAATTCCCGGAAAATGCCATGTCAATCAGAAAACTCCCCACACTCAATATCTGCTTTCCAGTAAATTTTATGAAGAATGTAGAAGACACGTCAATGGAAATGCATATTTTTAGCCCTCTTGATCCGACCTCCTAGGAGGGGGTAGATGTTACTTTTAGAACCTCATATGAAAAGGGAAGTCAAGATGCACATTATTTTGAAAGGCATTCAATTATTTTTCCAACGGTACACTAGTTTATCATTTTCTGTTGAGCAATTCTAGAAAAATGCCGTGACACTCAAAAGACTTCCCTCCCTCAATATCTATCTCTCAGTTAATGATGTAAAAAATCAAAAAGACACGCCAATTTTATTTCCAAGGACGACATATGGAATATATTTTCTTAGCGCTTTTATTTTTTCTTTTTTTTATCGCTTGGAGCGCACGAAAGGAATCCCTATAATGTTCAGAGAACATCGTGCGTTCCTAGGGAGAATAGGGACAGGATGTAGGTATTGGAATCTTTTTTGAACTTCTGGAGATTATATGTTCTTGGGAATACGTTCACAGGCAATGCATTCCAGAGCCTAGCCGTTCTATGGATGAAGGAGTCTTGATAAAGTGCTGTTCGACATCTTTCGAGGTTGACAACGAAAGGATGTGCTGACTGGGCTTGTCTAATTTGTCTGATTGGTATTGCTAGTGAAGGGATAATAGCAGAGATTTCCGAAGAACATTTCCCGTGGAAATATCGATAGAAAAGTGAAAGGTCGCCGACCTTTCTACGGTGTTCCAATGATGTCAAAGAGTGAGTGAGTGTGGCGTCACCCACCAGGCGAATAGCTCTTCTCTGGATATGGCATATAAGAGCACCAGCGTATGTTTTGGTGCTGAGCCCCATATGTGGGAACAGTATTCTAGAACAGGCCGTATCTGCGCTTTGTAGATCATGAGAAGCTGTTGAGGTGTAAAGTAGCATTCCGCACGAAACAAGAGTTTTTGTGAAGCAGCTTTTGCGATGGATCTGACATGATTATCCCATGAAAGAGTGTTGCTGATGAGAATACCGAGCATAGATATGATGGGCTTGGTGGGGATGGTGGTGCCAGACATTACAATATCGGGTATACTGAGTTCCGCCTTTCTAGAGAAAATACAGGACGTTCAAGTTTTTTTTCAACCATGATTTAATTCTTCATTTTTTGATGAGCAGTTTCCTGAAAATGCTGTTCTAAACTCACAGAAGTAATTAGTACGTGCCTTCACTGAGATGCATGGTTTTCAGGTTAGTATTATGTTATTGACCCTCCGAGTCAGGTTAACCGGGTCTTTTTTTTGTATTTCTGAATGGTTTTCATGAGAAGAACGCATTCTGATAATGACAGAATGAAAATTCAGAGCACAACTCTGTGTTCTAAATACCCAAATGAATATTTCCCTGAATTATAACTTCCACAATTTGTAGAATATTTACGATTTGGTATATCAAAACTACACAATTCCTCTGGTTCCCTTTCAATATTCCTCAAGATACGATTCATCTGAATCTTAACAGCGATAAATGATTCGAGAAATAATTCATCTGCTTCTTGAAAAAGGAAAGATAAATCAGAAGGGTAGCTATCCCTTCCTCTGTGCAACATCTGTCGAAGTCACACTGCTGGTCCTTTCATGTTACAGTATCATCAAAAGTCTTTTCACAGTCTAATTTCATCACATAGTATTCTACTCACATCGTCTGAATATGAAACCCATAAAATAGCATGCCAAAGATACATATATAAGCTCCACTCAAGTTTTCTGAAAATATATACATTTAAAAAAGCGAAATTCGATCACAACAAACAATTACTCGGAAGATAGACTAATAGAGCTAACTAACTCATTATAGGAAGCGATAGAGCTGTCAAGAGTAGATCATTTTTGAGCCCCAAGATACAAATATCTTCAAACACGAGCATGACATGTTTATATAGAGTCAGTTGAAAATACGAGGATTTGAAAATTTTGGTATTATTGACAACTCATACAGATCATTGTGTATCTTGAAGCGCAGGAGATAAGCTTTCAGAGGCAATCTACAAAAAGTGGTAGGGGAAACTCACCCTGGATTGGGGTAGACAGACAGTTTCTGTCCCTGCGACCAAAAGGCCGTCGCACTGCAACAATATGAGTCAATCAACCCCTAGGGTTCACAATGAAACATAGGCGCCGAGACTGAGAAATTTATATGACATCAGAATAGTTATTCACATACAATAGATCGAGAAAAGGAGTTATAAGTTCACGAAGTTTGAGGTGTGTACATACAACAAAGCACCACGAGGGATGCTTCTGAAAACTTTCTATGCCATTACTCAATTAACACACAGGGTGAGTCAAAAATTAAGAATAAATCAAGGTTCGAGTTATTCCACCATCATCAAGGAGGCTTTGAAAAAAAATTTCACCTCTCTATTTTTCTTTAAAGACAAATGCATTACCTACCAACAAATAAAAAAAAATCGGCCTACTATTTTTCGTTTTTTTTTAAGAAGATAGGTCAAATATCAAGTGCGTCACTTTTTTCGGAACTGAGTGTAGTTACGTAAAGTGAGACGTTTCAAAACTTACGTCAGTTTTGAAAAGTGTCGAATTTAGAAATGTCAAAATTAGAAAAATAATATACTTGTATTGAAAATTTGTGACAAATCTTCATCGATGTCAGTTTCACTAGTTTTCACTGGTTGTCAAGTTGCCCAACATTCCAACCATGTTGTCTCATATCCAAATATCAAGTTTTACAGAATGTTCAATATTCTGAGGAATCAATAACCCTGTATACACACATTCAGTCTACACAGATACGCCTATCAAACGCTTAATTCGATGTTACTACATGCGAATTGATTGGACCTCACACGAATACATTTAACGGTATCTCCTCTATCTTGGCTGAATAACGTATCTACATCGTAAAATGTTGTAATAATGGCGGCCATCACGGCATCCCATGATTTGTGGTTGTCAGTAATGTGCCGACGAGAATTTATGCGAAATTCGAGGTGTCGTAAAGTTACTATAGCGTCATACAACACAAATGAAGTTTAGTAGTTTAGTACATTACGTTAACTATGTAGTTACTGCTTTCTCAACCGAATGAATGAAATCGTCAGTGGTGAATTTACGTAAAATCTTCAAAATAGTATTTTCGAGATGAACACAATCCATATTTGATTCCATAGTGTACAAGAAATGTATGACCGCAAATTACGCTTATTGTTTCTATTTTTAAACGAATTTATTCCATTGTTATCTACTGTTGTCATCCATCAATCATCCATATTTCATCTTTCAGAACAGTTACCATGCAAATGTCAATGTTGATCATATGCTCATCCACATAATATTTATGAGGTTTCTTTGAAATTGTCTAAAGACACGTAGTATCTATACAGGTCACAGCTTGTCTAAAGATACACAATAGGTCTACAATGATTTCTACACAAAAAGTGTGGAATCACTCACAATAACTCACAACTATCAAAATATCAACATCAAGGCAGATTTTTCATAAATAAATGATACAACAGAACTGAAAATGAAAAATTTTATAATAAACTCATAACGTTTACCTTCTCCTGATTTTTTGCCATAAATTAATCTTCTTCACCTCATTTGTCGAAAAATGAGACCGGAATTTTGACAGATGACAGATCGCGAGGACCTTAAGACTGAAAATGATAAATGAATAGTGAGAACTCAACTTCTTATAACCCATTTATTCATAATATAGACATGTATAATACTATGTAGGTACTATTAATTTTCATGGTTTACATTCACAAATGTGAGTTATAACTCACAATTTGGCAACCCGGTACACCAGTCTTCACCATTTAAAAGGTATGTTATAAGTTGCTTTCTATTTATCCGATTCCGCCATCGGAATCACTTTAAGTACCTAATTATTATACAGGGTCCGGCAGAGATGTATGGAAGAGCTTAAAGTGGCGCCGAGTATGGTGGATATGAACATCATATTCTCGGAATAGGTAGTTGCCATTCTAGTTGCCATGCAGTAGTAGCCGTGGTCGATTGAGCATCGCGTATTCATTTACACCTATTTCGCAATCATTCAAACGTTGGCCGTAACGGTAGAGTTCCGAAATATGATACAATTATATAGTGGGTGAATGCTATTCAAAGAGCTGGGCAGCTCTTTATAATCGTTTCAAATTTCATCAGAGAACTGCCCGTTTCAATGAAGGTGTTGTGAACAAACACGCGATGCTCAATCGACCACGAGTGCATGGCAACTTGAATTTCCATACCATACCATACTTGGCCCCACTTTCAAATCTTCCTTACCTCCTTGCCAAACCCTGTAGTATGCATGATATTATGAACTACGCCTTGAATGGACTTCGAATTACCGTGTTCATAGTACATAGCAATACGATTTCTCACTTCTCCTGAAAATAATTCGACTGCTTTATTCACATGTATATATATATATATGAAGATCACTTTGAAACGTTTGGAAAGGAAACGTGCAGTATTCATGTAGAATCGACTTGACAATCTACTCCAAACTCCATCAGCACTGTCTAGACAGTTTTTTCTCCCAGGAAACCATCTAATATGATAGAATAATCAAATTGTCGTATCAAGTTCTCGAAGTTTCTATACATATATAATTCGCTACGCTCAACTATCCGAAGATACAGGAAGTTTCAGAAATTTCCGTACAAGAAGGTTGAGATACTTCAACAAATTCCCTCTTTAATAATCCTGCAAACAAATTTCGGAACATTTCCCGCCGACATGCATCTCCCAACTTAACTGGGTTAATCTCATCGTTGCACACAGCTAACACGGCGATAACGAATGCAGGAAAGCGAGCAGGAATTATACCAAATGCCTTGCAGGATTTTGATAACGGCTTTCCTGTTCGGACTGTGTCTGGCAAGAACGGCATATTTTCGCTCTGGGATTACGGCCATGGACACTTGTGACAGTTTGGCACAGACTTTGAAACCATCTTTATAGATTGTGCTTGCAAGAAGGCCAGAATGAGCGAGAATGTAAATTTATTATCGGTTGGAAGAAGTAAAGTACGACTCGTTTATAAATATTTACAACGACGTTCATTATTCAAACAGTTTTTATATACACTCTGCTTGTGAATGGACAATCCCAATTATAGTTGATTCAAAATCATTCGAAACTGGATGTTTTCTCCAGAATATGATAATTGGGAAAGTGTTGCCCTTATTGAAAAAAAAAATATGCCACCCAATTGGGGGAACTACAGGCCTGTCACAGTACCAAATAGTTTCTCAAAGGTAATTGAGTATGTTTTTCTCGACAGACTCAGACAGACTCAGGTCGTTTTTTGATCAATTCAACATCTTGACAAGTAAACAGCATGGATTTCAGTCTGAAAAATCAACGTCAACCGCCATGTTTTCATTTTATAAACATATTGTTGATTATGTAGATGCAGACGAATGGCCTGCTGCAGTTATTTGTGATCTCAGCAGGGCATTTGACTGTGCCAATCATGAAAAGCTATTGACTAAATTGGAAATGTATGGTATGAGAGGTGCATCTACTGTGTGTGTTTTTAGAACACCGCAAACAATTCGTTTCAGTAGAAGCTTTCTCGAAAAATAGACTTCAACAATTCAGGTCAGGAAATTTGACATTAGAGATGGGGGTACCCCAAGGCTCAACTTTGGGCCCTGTGCTTTTTATACTCTATGTTAATCAACTAGATCAATTCATTGGCGATACACATTACACTGCATATGCAGATGATTTTTCATTCATCATTTCGGCAGCAGAAACCTAAGCACTTTCAGATTATTTCAATGATAATAGTGTTCAAGACTGCGGTACGGTATATTTTTATGGGAGAAAATTTTCAATTGACAACTGTTTTTACAATATTGATGAATTATTTGCAAGCACTGTTTGAGTTTTTTTCATTATCTGTTTTTGTTTTACTCAGTAAGTGTGGAAAACCTGTTAACTGTGAATATTCTTTCTTTCCTTTCTCCTCAATCTGTTGTATATATCTTTCAAAGTGACTGTACCAATACAATGTGAATTGTCTAATGAAAATGAATAAATGATGATGATGAGTTGAAAATCAATTGATTCTGCTCAAGGTATGGCGGTTAAAGGAAAAACGTGATATGAATAATGCGTGATGTTGTTATAGGACTGATTTTTCCGAGAAAGTTTCCAATCAGGACCAACAATAATTGAAAGTATTTACGAGGAACTGAACTCAACACTCAACCTCAATAATTTATTTCCAATTATCGGGCCATACAGGTTTCCTGTGAAAATTGAAGTTACCGGAAGTATGAAAGCAGCACTTAACAGAAAACTCGAAAGCGAACATTACAAATTGACCTATTTCGACGGTGAAGGAAACTGGTTGTTCGATATACCGCAATGAAATGTTTCCTTCATATAATTTCCACACCACAAATCCATGCTTTTTGAAGCAGAATGATTAAGTCACTCAATTATATGGCAACACCTCTAAAACCATAAGTGAAGTCAGTATATGATTGTATTCCACATTTTCAGGTACGTGAGAGATCAGATAATGAGTTGATCAATTTTGATGGCAAAGGACACCGCAATCAACTGTATTCTCCATATTATGTAATTTTCACACCAAACATTTATGATCTTTGGAGCAGATATTGAATGACTCCTAAATCCAAAATATATAAGTTGCTAGTCAAGCTATCCAATATCTTACGCTATGAAAGTGGATATAAGTTACACTATTCAATGTTGGTATCTCTAAAACTACAAGTAAAATGACTATTATCTTCTTCCTTATCTCCAAGTTCGCGTAACGTGGAAAGTCAAAAGACAAATCGACCTAGTTTGAGGATGATAAAGACCAGCAAAGCAGATCTCAATATGCCGTAATGAACTGTTTCATTATCGTTATTGTCACAACAATGTGTGTGTGTTAATTTTCAGGATTGAAGGGTTCAGAACCATGAAAAACATAATCGCTGCTCGAGAAGTGGATATGAGTTACATGATGGTATATTAACACTGAAACTAAAAGTGGAACATGATCCAACAATACCTATGTGTTAGTGTTTTCGTATGTTAGACAAGTGTATCAGTTGAGAAACAAATT